CCCCAGCCAGTCCCACTGCAGCCCCCTGCCCTCAGCCCAGCCGTGTGCTCGGGGAAGGCGACTCCGTGGTCACCGTTCTCCTGGAGCACACCCGCACTGCACTGTGACCCCCGGGTGCTGGGGGCCAGACCTCTGGCCTCCGTCTTTCGTGCTCCTCTGGCTTTACACCTGCTGTCCCGAGGCTCTCCGCACTACGCAGCCCTTCTGCCTCGGCTCTGTGGCTGCAGCAGGGCAGGGCCTGGCCTGGTCCCAGCCTGACGGGGGCTCAGCCGCACCCCCCAGCGCTGGGTGTGTGGGTGGGTGGAAGGGGGCCCAAACCCAGGAGAGAGCCCTGTGTAGACAGCCCCTTCGTCTCTCCGTGCCTCAGTTTCCCATCTGAAAATCACTGCACAGCCCTACCTCACAGGGAGGGGCTTGGCTGCTGTTACCAGCCAAGTGCCACAGCTAGAGCTCCAGGCTCCCTTTCCTCCTGTGTACCAGTCCTGTACGGCCGCTGGCGTGGGGCGTTCCCAGGCGTGAGGGCCCCGTGATCGTGTCTCGCACCTTCAGCTGCAGCGCTCGAGGGCTGGGGGAGAAGACAGAGGAAAAGTGTCTCATTCAGGTCAGAGACCGGCTCAGAGTGTTACCCGCACACGTCTCTGTCCCTTCCACGCTGTAGGGACACACCTTCACCCCGTTCCTAGGCTCGGTGCAACCCTGTCAGTTACACACCCACCCTCACCCAGTGACAGCGGGGACCAGCCAGGGGGGTGCTGAGCGAGCGGCCGGCGAGATCTCTGGCCCCTCGCTGCAGGACAGTGCGAACGGAAACACCGGCTGTTGGTGTGCATGCCCCACAGCTGATGGGGGGTGACTTTCATAGGCTGCGGAGCATGGACTGTGGCTCACCCTATACGGCCTGGTCCCCTGTGCAAATAAAAGAACTGTCGGGCGGTCAGGAGAGGGAGCGAAAGGTTCCCTTGCGGTCTAGGTGGCAGATTAGGAGCAGGTTTGACGGGGAAATGCCTGAAACAGCACCCCTGAGACCTGCTCGGTCGGCCCGGCCCCCGTGCAGGCGAGTGGAGGAGAAGGAGGAAGGGGCCTGTTCCTGGGAAGGAGCCGGTCTCCCACAGATACGGCGAGGGAGCCGGCAGCGTGGAGGAGGGGGGCGTGGCTCGCACGGAAAGGAGAGAGATGGCAGAGTCCGGCTCCCATGCGAAGGAGGGGCAAGTAGGGAGACGGCCTGGGGTGGTGACAGAAGCAGCGGGGAGAAAACCGACGCGCGGCCCATCGATACCACGGACCCGCTCTGTGGCCGGCGTGCCTGGCTGCTGGTACCGACTGGACACGCCGGGCAGCGCCTCGCACGCACGGATCGCCCGGGAGAAGTCGAGGACACGCCCCCCGCCCCCAACGGGCCAGGAGTCTCCCACAGTCAGCCTCCGGCGCCCAGGGACGGCGAGAAGCCATCCAGGAGATTTAACAGGCCACGAGACCGTCAGCCACGCAGCAGGGCTAAGGCGGGCTCCCAGCCTCCGCCCGCCCCCGGAAGTGGCCCGTGTGCCTGGCTGCTCAGAGCAGGGGCGGGAAGAGGCATCTTCATGTGCTGCCCACATCCCCCCCAAGCACCGGCATCGCAGACCCCTTTGGGACCTGCTGCCCACGGGCGCTGCAGGGGGGTGCCTGGGGCCAGGACGGGCTGGGCACTTCCCACCCACTGGAGCCAGCCGAGGTAAGCACCCCCTGGCCTGCACCCCTCCCCCGTCCTGCACCCCAACCCCTGCCCCAGGCCCGAACCCCCCCACACCCTAACTCCCTCCTCGAGTCGGCACTGCCTCTGCACCCCAACCCCTGCCCCAGGCCCGTACCCCCCCCCAGCCCCACTC